ATTCCTAAAATTTATCTGGAACCGGAAAAGACCTAGAATAGCAAAGGCAATTCTGGGCAATAAAGACAAGGCAGGAGGCATTACAATTTCTGACTTGAAATTATACTACAAGGCTACTGTGATAAAATCAGCATGGTACAGGCAACAAAATAGTCCTGAGGAGCAATGAAATAGATTAGAAGACACTGAAGCCCCTAAGAACACACTCAGCCACCTGATCTTTGACAAAGGGGCCAAACATACTCACTGGAAGAAAGATAGCCTCTTTAACTAATGGTGCTGGAAAAACTGGCTCTCTACATGCTGAAAACTAAAACTTGACCCGGGTCTATCACCATGCACTCAACGAAAGTCAGAATGGATTAAAGATCTAAACATTAAAGCAGAGACACTAAATCTCCTGCAAGAGAAAGTGGGAGAACTCTTGAAGACCTAGGGGTAGGCAAAGAGTTCATGGACAGAAATCAAATTGCATGGGAAACAGTTGAAAGAATTAACAACTGAGACTTGCTCTTACTGAGAAGTTTTTTCACATCAAAAGAAATTACCAACAAAGTGAAAAGGCAACCTACAGATTTGGAAAAAGTCATGACAAATAAGTACTCAGACAAAGGTCTGTTCTCTAGAATTTATAAAGAACTAAAAAACAGTAGGGCCCCAAAATTTAAAGACCCAATCTAGAAGTGGACATCCGAGATGAACACACACTTCTCAGAGGATGAAATTAAAGAAGCGAATAAATATATGAAAAAATGTTCCACATCACTAGCCATCCGCGAAATGCAAATTAAAACAACATTGAGATATCATCTCACCCCAGAAAGAATAGTTATCATAAAGAAATCACCCAACAACAAATGTTGGAGAGGCTGTGAGGAAAAAGGAACCCTTCTCCACTGCTGGTGGGAATGTAGACTGGTGCTACCGTTATGGAAATCAGTATGGAGACTCCTAGAAAAGTTGGACTGGAAATCCCATTTAAACCAGCTCTTACTCTACTGGGAATTTTCCCAGAGGATCTCAAAACTTCATATTATAGTGATATATGTGTGCCTATGCTTATAGCAGCAGAATTTGTGATAGCCAAATCTTGGAAACAACCAAGATGCCCATCACCTGAGGCATGGTTGAAAAAGATGTGATGTTTGTACACAATGGAGTATTATTCAGCTATTAAGAATGATAAACTCGAAGCCTTTATATTGAAGTGGATGCCACTTGAACATATACTCATAAGTGAAATAAACCAGACACACATGTAAATATCATAGTTTCCCTAGTATAAGAATGCAAAAGAAGAAATACCAATAGAAAGGTATAATACAAGTAAAAGGAAAGCAGGATCTCAAGGACTAACTAATCAAGAGAGGGAAAGGAGTAGAGCTAGGAAACATGAATAAGTCAAATCATACAGTTATATGTAGAAGATGGGCAAGGCTATGATCCTGAGAATCTCCAGAAGATTTTTGAATCTAGCAATTTATTGGAAAAATTCTCACCCTTACTAACTATATATACTGACTCCTGTGAACTAAGCTACTACACTGCAGATGGTAATTTGTAATAGTAGTTTCATGCTTGGAGAGCCTGTCATTTTGGTCTTCTGAATATGGGCTGCTCTTCATGACATGTCAGTTGCTGCTATGATGTCTCTTGGGTAGATGGTTGTTCAAAATGTAGGGGGTGGTGACTGAAAGCAAGAGATAGGAAAAGTAATATTGTGGGACTGTCCTGCTTCAAGGTTACATATGGTGAGATTTTTGGACTTATGTGTAAACATAAGAAGTATATAATTCTTTATGCCTATTTCTAAAATATATTTTAATTTTTAAATGTTTTTTATCATATTCTGTAGGGATTTAAGTTCAATGTATTAATACTTGATGAAAAATACCTGTTCCATATTATGCCTAAGATGTTTGATATGCAGACAGAGAGGTTAAGCTTAACAGCCTAAGTTGTATGGTAATAA